TATTTTGACATAAATGGTCATTTTGGTCATATACTTTGAGTACTACACAAATATTGTGGTATGTTTTATTATGAACTATTGGAGGACAAAAGAAAGAAATAAATCTTTTCTATAAAGGTTGTGGCCATGACCAAAATAAATGTTGTTGTGTGGCAACACAAATTTGTCATTGGTTGTCAAGAAATTTTGTTTTTTCAAATTTTTTATTTAATATAAAATTATATTTTATTCTAAATTTATAATTAACATAAATTGCAAGAAAATATTATATAATATACAAATTAATAGACAATTTCAAATAAAAGTGAAATATAATTACATAAACATTACATAAGCACTCAACTTTCAAAATTATTACGTTGCTCCAATAAATGTTCTATTAATGCATTACGGAGTTCTAAAAGAGTATTTTTGTCCTTAATTTTTTATGTCTAGCTAAAAATTATTCAAATCGGAGATTTTCATCTACCATCATACCCTAATTTTTTTTGAATATTGCTAAATTTGGAAACGACCTACCGGATTTACTAAATTATTGTTGTAATAAATTAATTATTATGTTAGGTTATGTATTGTATTTTATCTGGTATTTAAATTATTATGTTATGTGTTGTATTTTTAAATTAAATTTTTCATATTATCATTTTAATTATGTGCATTTTTTATAGTGAAAATTAATAACAAAATAAAATTATATTATTGATGAAAATTGAAAAAAAAAATACTTTAATTCGAGATGAATTTTTAAAAAAAATATTATTTTACATTTAAAAAGAATTATGAATATGAGATATTTAATTAATGACATTATATGTAAAATAATATGTTAATTAGAAAATAATAGAAATAATAATAAAATATTGAAAAAGTGAAATAGAAAGTATGAATAGTAGTTCTCCAAATTTGGAGTACGACTATTCAACTCTCTACATATGGAGAGAGGTTGGAGTGTCCATTCTCAATTTTAATCTCTAAAATATAGAGAATAAAGAGTAAAATACGAATAGGTTGGAGATGGTCTAATCCTTAGTATAATCTCAACATGAATAGTGATATCAAACAAACATATAAGTAACAAGACTATAGTCATTACTTTAGTCATCTCAATTGATATGAAAGTGTTTGATTAGAGATAAAATTTGAGAAATAGAAAAAGATTGTTGAAATATTTTATCTAAAATAAATTATAAATATGTCAATAAAGATAAAATAAGTATTTTAAAATTAAATTATTATTAAATATAGAATCGTGCCATTTTTTTTCTAGAAACGACGAAAAAGAAGTACTTCTTTCATCCCAATTTATGTGATACATCTCTAATTTTGAGATTCAAACAAGTCTATCTTTAACCGTAATTTTTTCATATACCTATTAATTAGTATTTTGGATTGTCAATTATTGTGATTAATAGTTTTTTTGCACAATTTACATATATATAAATTTCATTTCAAAAAAATTGAAGATCTCATGAGCAAATTTCCAGTTAAATTTATGTAACACCCCAAAAATTTTAAGCTAAGGCCTGAACTGTTCTTTATCTGCATATAAGGTCTTATCAGGTTATTCTTAAATTGCTCATATTTGTAAATGTAATTTTTTTAGTATGAGAATGATTTTGGATATCAATTAATGTCACTAAAAACTCCTAGCACAAAGTAGAGTTGAAAGTTTCCTTATCGATTAAGTTTTGATGTAAGATTCTACTTGGATCAACTTCAAACGAACATATATCTTAGAATATAAAGAGTTACGTGGATCATAACCTATCAAATTAAAGTATTTGAATCTTCTTTCCAACGCCACCAATTTCGCAATAATCCGAGGTTTGAGTAAAAAGTGATGACCATTTTAGTAACCTGATACAGTGCAATGGCGAATTAGCCGACGGGAAAACATTAAAAGGGATTCTTTTTGTATTTTTACCTCTAAGAAAATCCTAAACGAATTTCTTGATTAATTAAAGACCCAAAACAATCAGATTCTCGTCTCTTAATACATTATTCTCTTCTCTCTTAAATCCTAAGACAAAATCCTTAGGAAAAATTAAAGTAGAAGACTCCATTCAAGATTCTTTCAATCTTTTTCAAGAGAAAGTCCTTCTCCAAGAATTTCATTCTTTCCAACTCAAATTCTTCCATACAATTATGAATCACTAATGAAAATCATAATTCTTGGCCATAGAGATTTCAAGAAACTAATTCAAGAAATCTCAAGAAAGGTTTTCTTGATTTTTCTCCTTCAAGCTAGGGTTTCAAGGCTTCTAATCAAATTCTTCTTCAAGATTCTTCAAGAACCTTGTTTTTCCAAGTATGTAAGGTTATCATAGTGTTGGACTAGTTCGTCCTCACACCCTATATCTACTTTCAAATCAGTAAAAGATTAATCTAGGATTCTATCCCTAGATTTGAGTATTCTTGAGATGAGTTGATTTTGAGATCTTGAGTTCCGAATTCTTTTTGAAATTCTATTCCTAATTATTGAATTGCTATATGTTATGCATTAAGATTCTTGAGTTGATTCGTTCATGTCTATATTTCAGCATGAACCCTATGAATTGAGTATTTTTTTAAATGAGTAGTATCGTGGAGTTATGAGTCTTGCGTTATGTGTACCGAGTTTCCTTATTGCTATTAAGATCCTTGAGTTGAGTCGTTCATGTCTATAATTCCACATGAACCCTATGGTTTGAGTTATAAATTTTGAAAAGCTTTTTAAAGCCAACACTTGAGTTCTTAAACTGAGTTTTAAGAAAGTAAATATGAGTTTTGAGAAAAGAGTTTCTAAAACACGATTAGTATGACATCTAGTATGTCATCAATGTATGAGCAGTATGGTATCTAGATATATCATCAATGTTTATGCACTATGACTTCCCAAGTCATCAATGATCATATTAAAATATGATTTTGATATGATTTTTAGAAAGACTTTTCAAGTATGAATTGAGTAAGAGTATAAGGGGACTATGTATGCCTAGAGGCATCAATATTTATATTGATAAAAGAGAAACTGAGATTTCTAAATGAGTTATGAGTTCAAAAGATATTTCAAGAGCAGTTACCTCTTTTAAGAGGATAGTTTGAGCAATTATCTCGAACCAGAGGAAGAGTTATGTTTTTAAACATATGAACATGAGTATATATTATTGGGAGTAGTATTTAACACTGATATGGGGACTAGTTCAGACAACTCAAAGTCCTCATAAACCATGCATGCCAACATGGGTAAAGGGTCATACTTTTTAGATGATTCCTTATTGGTTTTTAAGCATAACTTAGTGGATCCACTTAGTTGAGGTGTCCTATACCCCGACAAGGTATAGGACAGTTCTGGCAGCGTGGGTAAAATATTGTATCATCATGTAGCTCATAGTGATGGTTGTCGGTTAGAGAATCTCCCAATAGAGTGAAAGTGTATTTTTATATATCACTTACTATGTTGAGTTCAGAGATGAGAAACTATTTTGTAAAGCTTTAAATGATTTAACTTCTTTATTTCTTTACATTCAGCTTGAGTACATTATTATATATTCCAGACCTTTCTTTCAGTTATTTGTTATTCAGTTATATTACATACTCGTACATTCAATGTACTAATGTCATTCGACCTGCATCTTTTAATGATGCAGATACATGTTATTAGGATTCTCAACAAGAGTCTGTTGAGATCACTGTATCCGCTCGTCTGCTTATGATTGAGACCTCGTTGCTTTCAGAGTACTTCATTTTTATGAGTTGTTACTAGTAGTTCTCTTGAGGAGTCGTGGGTCTTGTTCCGACACTCATCCTCGTATACATTAGAGGCTTCATAGATAGACAGTTTTGGAGAGTCTTTCAGTTTCAAATATTTTATTTAAAACTTATGTTTCATACTCAGTATATTCAGCAAAGTTTTAAGATTCAGTAAACTGTTTTTAAACGTTTCTTTCAATTTGATGCTTAGTATGCTTGAGTTAGTCTTTCGTTTGTAGTCAGTCAGGATGAGGGTTCGCTTGGGGACCAGCAATGGTTCTCGAGTGCCGGCCACGTCCAGGGTGTAGGCTCAGATCGTGACAATTTAAACAACTAAACTCTCCTAAAACGACATGTATCACATAAATTGAGACAAATAGTATGACCCGAATTGAAAAGAAAGAAGCATCATTTACCAAGGACAAGGACAACATTAAACATGTACACCCACCAAGTTGTCTTTGCTTTCATGACTCCTCTCTCCTTCTCGGTACATCTCTAGCTACTCCTTCTCATTGTCTGCCCTAAACACGTGATTTGTGAGTAGAACAATATTATGGCAGCTTTATATAAATAAAAACATCATTTTGTTTTAAAACAAAGTAGAAAACAACAAAAAAAAATGTATACATCGAACCACCAAACTTCCTTGTAGATTCCCTCGCATCGAGACATAGGAAACTAAGCTTATTCCTAATACCTAAGTTCCTCCTTAAAAACACAAAAATAACATTATATTGTACTACCCAAAGGAAAATGAAATCTGGGCTCATAAAGTATTAAAAAGAATATTCATGATTTATTCACACACTGTATTATTATTATTTTAGCCCTAGAAGCTCCCACCCTTTTTACAATTCGAATTCACAATCTTTGAGTTCAACAAGTGAGAAGTGCTTAATATCCCAGCAACTCTCTATCATCAATAATACTATATTCATTTTTTAATTTTGTTTGAAATTAGTTCAGTTTGAAGAAGTCATGGACTTTTTGTGGTGATATAGTTGTGTAGTTTCAACTACTTTTCTTAAAAGTTTTGGACCTAAGAAGGAGAATTATTTTGACTAGAATTAAGTTGCCCAAACTGTAGGTTTGACAAGATTTAGAAAGTTTAAGATCTGTTTTTGAGCATGCATGATATAAACATAAAAATTGGCATTTACTTTTCTCATAAGAAATTAAAATAGCAAAAGAATACAATTCAATAAGCAGAGAGACATGTATTGAGTTTTGAATATTATTTGGTTGTATATAATTATAATAATGTCCTAAATGGAGACTCCTCTATTGAACATTTCCTTGTTATTTAAAACAGAATGAACTCTTTGCATCTTCAATTCTTCCCTAAACTTATTTATAAAATCATCTGCTTTTTTATCAACTGCATCTTCGTCCTCATTTTCAAACAACTTCCTCCCTCCACCACCACGACTACGATTCCCCTCCTCAGCGCACGTGACAGATTTGCTTCTTGTCATGTGACATTTCGAATCTTCCGCATCTTGTGGTTGTTCATCGAGAGATGGAAATGGGGTGGGTTTTTGGGAGGAGAAAGAGAAATTGATGGAACGGACACGCTGAAGCAAAGAGGGACTGTTTTGGGGGAAAGTAGTTAAAGGGGAATAATTAAATGGATCTGGAAATAAAGACAAGTTTACAGACCTCACACGCTGTAACAAAGATGGAGTTCTAGGGAGTTGATCTTCACCGGCCTCTTGTTTCTTGTCATTTCTCAAGGTGGAAGTAATGAAAAGAGTAGCAATCGTGACATTCAACACGCAGAAGATAACAGTAGGCGTCAACCAGCTCAACACAGATTCAATCATCACACCCATTTCTTAGGCAAAAGGGAGTTAGGGTTTCAAGTGGAGGACACTTTCTATTTATAGAGCGAAGTGAAGTGAACGAAGGAAGATGATTAATTTTACATACATATAAATAAAAAAATCTAATTTTGTGTATTTAAGAGTATGTTTGAATTGATTTTTAGGACTTATAAGCCAAAAATTATAAGGTGGAACTTTTAAGTTATTATTTTTATTATTTTAGCTTAATAATAAAAATTCTACTACTCCCTTTGTCTATTTTATGTGATACTTTTTGGATTTCGAGATTCAAACAAATTAACTTTGATAGTAAATTTTTCATAGATTTTTTAAACATTCTGATTTATCAATTGTTGTGACTTATAGTACTTTTTGCATAGTTTACGAATATATAAATTTCATTTCAAAAAAAATGAAGATTTCATGAACAAATTCTCGGTCAAACTTAAATTGGTTAACTCTCGAAAAATGAAAAGTGTCACATAAATTGGGACAGAGGGAGTATAATTTTTTATTTCACAATTGCCTTTTCCTATTTTAATTTGGGAAAAGGGTCTGAAAAATACTCCAATTTTGATCGAAATTGTTGTTACGATATCAAACTTTGGAAATGACCTTTTAACCCTCTGTACTATTTAATAGTGTATTTTGAAGGTATATATGCGTCTACGTGGACATCATAAATATTGCATCATTTTAAATAGTAATGTGTCCACATGGACACATATATACCTTTAAAATACATTATTAAATAGTGCAGAGGGTAAAAGGTCTTCTATAAAGTTTGGTATCGTAACAACAATTTCGACCAAAATTAGAGTATTTTTCAAACCCTTTCCCTTTTATTTTTAATCAGAGTACTGGAGTTTTGGGATTTTAATTAATTAGAAGGCATTTAGATATACACACAGCAAATTATCTTTTCCAATTCGGTTTTTCCTTCATTTTCGGGTGAAAATCATTCTCATCTTCTTTTTTAAAAAAAAATAATTCAAACTCCCTTCTCAATTTTGAACAACAATCAAACTTTTCATTTTATTTTATGCATTGTCTATGTTATTCTTATTATATCACATATATGTAATACCTCTTTATATTATATATAATTTATTGTTAACCTATGTATTTATAAGTTTTTCTTTAAGTTCATTAACATTATAATAAGAAGAGTAATATTTTTATAAATTTATAACAAAATTTAATATTATTTTTATGATAGTTATTTCAACACTATATGCATTAATTAGCGTGTGCATATGTATGTATGTATATATTTTTGTCCGTCTCCACTCTGTTACTTTATGTGTTTCATATTGCCTATCCCTTCTTGATATGACACCACATAAAAAAATTAATTAGTAATATATTTTACTGAATTAACACTATTAATGCTTCAAAACATAAATTTGACTACTACTATTTTACGTAGATATTTAATACTAAGGGTAATGGTAGACATAAAAAAAAGTATAATTTTTTTTGTTTTTATAAATTGGACAAATATATTAAAACAACTATTTTTAGAATAAGGGTCAAGTAATATAAACAGTAAAAATATGCTTTATTATCTATACAAATAAAACAGAAATTGATTGGCGTTGATGGAGTATTACATAAATTATAGATTAAATAATTTACAATCTAAATAAATATATTTAAGAACTTGACCTTAATTAAATTAATTACTTTGTATTCTCTACATCAAAATATATATGTATAGTGTAACGACTTGTTCGCGTCGTCATAGAAATGCCAACGGGGAAAATATGTGACCGAAAAACTTTTTCGTACTATTTGGATTTTCCCAACCTAGTCCAGATTTGGATGAAATCGGAGTCGTTGAGGTGTAGGGAAATATGGTAACAATCGGGTGAATCATTTATGATTTTGATTACATGAGTAGTTAGATAACTCGTTAAAGAATCTGTACGACTTTACAGAATTGAATTCGGGCGAGCAGAACTCCCGAAATCGATCTTAGCGTAAATGGTATTTACTGAGCATCGTGGGTTAGAGGTGTGTTGTGAAATAGGAATTTTGAAATTCTTGAAATAGCTCTCTATTTCGTTTGGGCCACTTTGGAGGGGATTTATGTCGCCCTGGCGAGGTGGTGGCCGTTGTGGCGGGCCCGACGCGAATTAAAGTCATAAATAAACCCTTAAACGACCTCATTATGCACTTTTCGACTTTTTGAGCTAAGGAACGACTCCCAGGCAACTCATACTCGTTTTTCACCATTCTTGAGGCTAAAGGTAAGCTTTTCACTCCCCAAATCCGTTCTTCAATCCATAGAACGTAATAGAGTGGGTGAATGTTGATGGGGGAGGGTTTGGTTATGGATTCTATGGTGGAAACAACCCTAATTTGGATAATTGTGATCATGGGTTTGATCTAGGGTTCATAGAATTGTTACTAATCCGGGTAATTAATGATTGTTTATTGATTCTCGTATTATATTGATTGTTTGTAGACCAAGAACAAGCGGAACGAATCTGGAAAGGGAAGGATCAAGTTTCTTAGGGTTTCAAGCTTGTTTCGAGGTAGGTGGTGGTTGTGATTCTATGGTTGTCTAATGTATGCTTGTTATTGCTTCATTATGATTTTTGTATATGTAAGAATGTTGCAATGTTGATCACACTTGTTGTAAATGAGATAGAGAATTGATGAATGCCATGAAATCATGACTTAAATGTATGATCTTAATGATATACTTATGATTTGTGATTGTGGTGTGTGAATGGGATCGGTTGTCACGTTTCGGCATAACTAACTTGGATCAGTTGCCACGTTCTGGCATAAAAATGGGATCGGTTTCCACGTTCTGGCATAAATATGGAATCGGTTGCCACGTTCCTGCATGCTAACTGTTTGGATTTGGGTTCCATGAGAGGATCAGTGATTTGATATAAAATGTGAAGTTGTTCGTTGTTTGTAAATATTGATAATGTTGTATATGTTGATATGTATGCATGTGATTATAATGTTGTTTGACTTGTTTATGTTGCACTAGTGGAAGGCCGTGTGATCCTACCAGTACACTGTGGTTGTGTACTGATTCTGCACTTACTCTTATTTTTGTTGAGTACAGGGCATCTTCAAGCGGCTATTGACAGACCTCGCTTAGAAGAGCAGTGATCGTCGCTCCGAATTCAAGGATGAGCCAATTCTTCCGGGCTACCATGGAATTCTCCTTCGTCTATGTCCACCATTTCTGGACTTAGACATTTGTTTTAGTTAGTTCATTAGTATGGGGTTGTACCCCTTCTTGTTTAGGCTTGGTTCATTGTTAGAATGTTTTGGTACATTGACTTTCAGGTTCTAGGTTATTCTTCTGCATTATTAGTTATTATTGTTAGACTTTTATTAGAGTTTATGGGAACTCTAATTTTATTGCCTTAGTTTTTAGATTATTTGCTTGGTCTGGGTTGTAGTAGTGGTTCTCGCACCGGAGTGTTAGTGTGAGTGTCAATCACGACGGTCTGGGTCGTGACAAAGTTGGTTTCAGAGCCTAGGTTCATTGATCTCGATATACCAAAATGAGTCTAATAGAGTTTCGCAGAACGGTACGGGGACGCCTTTACTTTTCTTCAAGAGGCTATAGGACTTTAGAAAATCTCTTTGTTTTCTCTTGTCTTCTTTCGTGCTATGACTTGATTCCAACTGGTATCTGGCGATTCAAATTGGTATCTAACCTCCTTCACTTTTTTGTCCGCGGATGGTTAATACTAGGTATAACAGCGTCAGGCTTGTAGCCCCGTCAATGCTCTGATTGAGGAATCTACAGCGAGAGGTCGCGATCGAGGCAGGGTTAGAGGAAGTGCTAGGGGTAGAGGCCGTGGAAGAGTAGCACATGCTGAAAATGGAGCTCCGGTTGCGAATGCTCCTGTGAATGAGAATCCCCCTATGCATCATGAGTAAATGGAAGAAGAGGTTGAGGTTGAGAATGTTGAGGAAGTTGGACAAGAGAAAGAGGTGCAGGCTAAGGCTACATGTATTCCTCCCATCGATCCGGTGTTAGCTCAACAAATCATGTCGTTCTTAAAAAGGTTGGCTGGTCCTAAAGTACTTCCATCTGTTCAAGCAACTCAAGCTCCTACTAATTGTCCTGTTGTTAGCACTGCGCCTAAGACGGGTGGAACGAAAGGTAATGATTATTTCTTCCGTCTTTTGTTAGGTTCTGTCATGACTGGTAATGAGCATGAAATGTTGACTAAGTTTTTGAAGCTAAAGTCTCATGTGTTCCTTGGTTCTGAGAGTGAGGATGCTTATGAGTTTATCTTAGATTGCTATGAGATGATGCATAAATTGGGTATTGTTCATCAACATGGGGTTGAGTTTGTGTCCTTTCAACTTCAAGGTGAGGCCAAGTAGTGGTGGAGAACTTATATGGAGTGCAGATCTTCTACTTTACCTCCACTTACTTGGACCCAATTTCATGCTTTGTTTCTAGATAAGTATGTGCCTAGGACCTTGAGGGATAGCAGGAAAGATGAGTTTATGGCTTTGGAGCAAGGTGGTGTATGTAGATTCTTATGAGGCCAAGTTTCATGCTTTATCTAGATATGCTACACAGTTAGTGACTACAGAGGAGGAGAGGATCCGGTTATTTATTAAAGGATTGAATTCTGAGTTGTAAGTATTATCTGTTCATATGACTTCTACAGGGAGGAGCTTTAATGAGGTAACAGACTATGTTAAGAATGTAGAAGGGGTGAGGCGAGACGGTCAAGCTAAGGCATGGCAAAAAAGGCAAAGAACTCGGGTAACTTTCAAGGTTCTTATTTCAAGGGGTCCGGAAGGCCAATGCTTGCAGCTAAGCCAATTCAGTCCATTATGCCCGTCTTTACAGGTAGTTACTCGAAAACTCCATCTCATAATTTTCAGGATAGCCAGGGAGTCGTACCTTTGACGGGCGGCAGACCATTTTTTGATCGTACTTGTTACAATTATGGAGAACCTGTGCATATGAGGAGAGATTGTCCATACCCACGTGTGTTACATTCTACGTA